CTATCTTCTGTATCAAACACAATATACTCCAAGTAACTAAATGCCCACTTCACCATCTGACATTTAGGAGAGTCAGTAGAACTAGATGTTAATAAATAAAATGGTTGACTGACTGGCAGTTCAATTGAATCATACCAGTTACCATCAGTTTGACAACAATACTCTATCTGGGTATCTTTATCATATACACCATCTGGTAGAAATCCTCCGTATTTATTTATGTTGTTAGCATCTTCATCATCCCAGAACACCCAGCCTGATGTCATATCTTTCGGACACGTTCCCTTCTTGTAAATACAATATGAACCTGTCAAAACAAAAATACATTTTCAAGAGGAAATCATTAAAAAAACGTATACAACATAGAGAAATCATTTTGATTAAAAGAAGTCATCCTGCATGTAGAGAAAAACCTTACCTATAGGCCAAAACTTTGCTTGTATTCCAGTATTTTGTTTCATGCAGAATGTCCTATTTACATCTATATTACCCCTTTTTATTGTTATGACACCCAGCATATGTGACCCATTAGATACTCTTGACCATTCACTGCTGTTCTTATCGTCATCCATATCCTGATACCTCCAGCCCTCACGCCACACATTCTTCGTACCACCTGGACATCCTGACTTAGGTCTAGGGAGACCATAACTACCACCTGGCCATTCGTCACCTGAAAACGTTAGAGCACATGTGGAATACTACTGATTAAATTAGAATAATTTATATTAGTATATAAATTGTTACATGAGACCTCGAACAAGTCAAACCAGGACGATTTAATTTCGGTCAGATTATTATTTATAATCTTCAACTGTCTGTGCCAGTGTAGGTAGTGCCACTAATATGAACAAGCTTTCGTTGGTTTAGGGATCCAACTACCTGAATAATATAAGGAGACTTTCGACGATTCGAGCGAAGCCCTTAACTAGTAACTCCAGAGTCCAGACGTTATTAGTTATAATAGATGTTTTCATGAGACTGGTGTCCTAGGAAATTTAGCCATGGGGGCCATATTTCTTAGGAGATATAGTCCCCCCCCCCCATAGGAAATTTGGCCTCCTCGAAAACATAGTTTACTTTATCGCTATAAGCTCGGAAATCGTGAAGCTTCTTCTAAAACCAAGATCCTAAATGTGTTTGTCAGTATTTATGGTTAGTTTGCATAATTTGTTTGTGTCGAAATTCTTCATTGCGGCCAAGAGCTGAAAGTTTGAGGGAAAGCGTAATAATAATAATGTGCTAGTGGCGGTCATGCCAGACACATCACACATGGGTATCTGTAGAGGACAACGTTAATGCATAATGACTTAGCTTTAAGCTAAAAACACGAAACGATATGTAGATATAGGAATTTCTAAGATATTATAAGTTATTTATATCTATAAATTCAGTCACATAGTATAAAATTAGTCAGGATAACAACCGCACTTTAGCAAACGATTGTCTAATTGTCAATTAGAGTGCGTTTCAAGTATTAGCAAAAATCGTACTATTTTAAGTATTATAAAAATCGTTTCGTTTCGATAGCTTAATGATACAGCCATTATTTATTAACGTTGTCTTCTACAAAGCTGGTCAAAACCAAACGCGAAAAGTACGCTAAACTTTAGCTCTTGGCCTAATTCTCGTCAGTATTGCAATTCAATGGAGAATTTTGACACAAAAAAATTACGCAAACTAACTATAAATGTTGAGAAAAATTTCTAGAAATTTGGTTTTAGCAGAAGCCTCACGATTTCCGAGCCTAAAGTTAAAAGTAAACTATAATTTTTTAGGGGAGGGGGACAAATTTTCGAAGTGGGGGGGTCATATTTCCAAGGAAATATGATACGGGAGGGGCCAAATTTTCGGGGGGGGGGGGAAATTTCCTGTGACACCTGGACGAAAAATTGCTCGGACCGTTCTGAAGTCATCCCGCTCACTGGACCAAACGGTCCGAACCGACTATCTTTGAAACGGGATTTATGTAAACACAAATACATTTCAGACCGGTCTCGGCTGTGCTCTTGGCTTTGGAACGATGCATGCTCACAGAAGCTTTGTAAAAAGGATAAATTGTTTTATTCATATCGGTCTCATGTGAACATACTGAAAATTTCGATTTTCATTCCGTCTCATGAATCTGTGTTATTGGTGTCTTCGTTTGAAAGAATACGAGATTTAACGAGATCAAATCTCGTATCAATCAACTCTCAAGCACTCATATCAACATAACAACTTTGAGGTAGTTGGATGAGAGTCGACTAGAGTTTTTGCCACGCGTGCGGTAACTATCAACCGTCACGCAACTCTGTTTCTCGTGAGAATGAGAATTCATAGACCAGGGATTTATTTCCATAACCTCATGTAAACTACCATACCTTGTATGAATGAAGGGGCCAAGCCAAGAAGGCAGGTCAAAATAAAGCTTATTCTAAATATCTTCCTTTTTTGGCTCTTTGTAATCTGTAGTTAAAAAAAATCAATACGATTATGTATATAAAGCCATTAATTAGCAAATATAATATTTCAAATAGTCTTCATGCATATTTCTCAAATATTTTAAATTTTGTCTCCTCGCGGGGCAGAAATTTGATCTGAATTTCCGGCTGTCCGCAAATTTTCAAGAAAATACTACAATTTGATCAATCTTAAGCCTGGTTTCCATATGGTCGTAAAAATAAAGTCACGATCTTTCTCAACGGCCAGTTTATAATAGTTTATACCTGTAAACCACATATATAAATCATAAGTATTCTTTAGTTATAATCACTCCGCGTATTTTCAGTTCTAAAATGTTGTATTTTCGCTGATGAGAACGATCGTGACTCAATCTTTACGACCGTTACGATCATTAGGAAAACTTCATAGAAATCCTATTTTTGATCAAATTAATGCATTTATTTCAACTCAAGTGTACCGAGTCTGAGAGCAAGCTTCGCACACAAGAATACAATTTAGTACTGTAAATATAAGATGACAAAAAGTCTAATTGTTCCTCTATACACACGTAAAAACGAAGAACCTGTCGCCAGTTGATATCGACAGGCTTGAACGGGATTGTGCTACACCTGGACCCTGGCTGTTGTAACAATATTGTTGACAATTTGTTCTGTTCAGCACAATCTTGTTCAAGCCTGTCGATATCAACCATAAAGAGTAATGTTCGTTTTTACGCGTGTAGAATTGCTCATCTGTACACATCTTATAAATTACCTGCATGTCTACTGAAAGATGGTAAACATTAACAGAACCACTATCCGAACACACAAAACAGCATCCAATTCAAATAATCTGACAACCGTGCTTCTGAGTTGGCGACTAAGTCCTGCCATATATAGCCTATCGAAAGGGAGGTGGCTGTGAAACTTATTAGAGTGACAATATATAACCAGGGTTGTCAGATTGCTAAATGGATAAGCCGGAAACTAAACGGCACAACGCACAAACACAGAAACACTCACGTACCTAAGCTATATTAATTTTGCTTTCGTATTGGAGGGATTTCGACGGTTGAGTTTCTGCGAACCGCCTCCGCTGTTGAGCTTGATTTCTCCCGAGAAAAGTAGTTGAAAACGTTATCATAAGTTCACTACATTCGTTTATTTTCAAAACTTTCTCTGAAAATGATTGTCAAGCCCCGGTCAAGTAACGAGGCTGAGAGTTGATGACAGTTGACAGTCACGAATTTTTACAGCGGACATTCCAAGCTCTAGATTAACAAAATAAAGGTTTAATGAGTGTTTCAACTATGTTTTAACTTCAATAGAATACACGATAGTGTTGGGAAAACATTAAGAACAGCAAACCAAGATCCCGTGACTACCAACTCTCATGCACTCTCATGTACTCCTTAGAATTGTCAAGTGGTCGACTTGAAATTTGCATTGACGTCGCAATAACGGCGGGTGAAACGAGAATGAGAGTTGAGAAGCGAGAATTTGCATGAGAATGTTCTAAACTCTCATGTCCCGGTCAAACGAGAACAAGAGTTGCATGAGAGTCAGCGAATATTCTCATCAACTCTCATTAAATTTTGAACCAGTACAAAATTGATGATCAGAGACAGAGTGCATGAGAGTCAATCGATGAAATCATGCGAGTTGGCCGTTGGCGGCAAACGCGAGCGAGAGATGCAACTCTCTTCAACTCTTGTGTCTCAACTAATGTCCAGTCAACTCTCATGCAACTCTCATTCACGTTTGATCAAGGGCTTCATTTTGAAAACGATATCTAATGATTACATGTGATGTCACCACTTTTTTGCAACCTGACACTGCAGTCTGACATTAATTTACAACGTATTTGTCGACCCCGTGTTTGCCGCATGATTTATATTTCTTCTGCAAACAACACAGGCTGATTAAGGCCTTTCATCTTTCCAATTTAACCAAGGCCTGTTTACACATGTTTCGCCTCATAATACCCCCGCAACAAACTTCAAATCAAATTTTGAACAACAATGTAGCAGTTTTGAATATGCTCATGAGCACGTCCATATATGTACCAAAATCCTGTAATCTGCTCATGAGCATGATTATCAGCATACTGCATGATTTTCGTGTATACATGTATGCATATACGTGTGAGGCAATTTGCTAAAATTGCTTGTTTTTCACCTTAATTTTCTCATATATACAGGTTGTGTCAACAAAATGTCATTAGGTCAGAAGATGCGCTTTTCTTTCTAGTTTTTGCTTATAGACTGAAAACTCGCCTAAAAAATAAAGAAAACACTGAATTTTGGCAAATTTCATGTACAAATGTAATTTGTACGAAAAAGGCGACTCAGAAAATGAGCATCAGAATAAACATTTTGCTCTGTATATTTTGCTATAATAGTTTTAAATATTATTTTCAAAACCAAACAAGATAGAAAAGAATTGTTAAGGGTCTTGGTAATTAAATCGTTTTAAAATTTCGTTGTAGTAATGAGACAAACTTAATTTTTATTGTCAACTTTCCTTTAAGTCATTAAGACGCAGTGATGTACACCATGTGCGCGACCTTCAACAAGTTCAAGTTTCCACCAACTTTTGGTAATCATCAGCTTCGCGTTTGCTTAGATCCAGCGGCTCGTAGCCTGGTAAGTTTCTTCCCATTTTCATGTCTTCGTACGACTCTCTTCTCTCGTCAGCTGGTATAACATAATCTGAGTCTCGCTTTACAAGTTTCTGGTAAGTGTCATCATTTCTGCCTTGCAGTCTATTCTTATCAAGCTCAGCATAACCTGGATTTTCTGACGATATTTTGGGCTTTTCATACATTTTATTTTGGCCCGTTGTTTCATCTCCAACCTCTCCGTAATCTGATGTTTTTCCTTTAGAAACAAAACAAGATATGATAAAGCCGCGATCAAAAGAGAATGAGAGTTGAGAAGCGAGAGTTTGCATGAGAGTTGAGAAGCGAGAGTTTGCATGAGACTTGATGAGATTTGATGAGAGTTGAGAAGCGAGAGTTTGCATGAGAGTTGAGAAGCGAGAGTTTGCATGAGAGTTGAGAAGCGAGAGTTTGCATGAGAGTTGATGAGAGTTGAGAAGCGAAAGTTTGCATCAGAGTTGATGACAGTTAAAAAGTGATAGTTTGCATGAGAGCAGGGGCGAAACTAGCCCCTTTTAATTAGGGGGGTGTCTGGCAGAATTGCCCTGCCAAAACCAGTGATGCCCTGCCAAAAAGTACCAAAAAATTTTTCCTGAAAAATTATTTCGGCGACCTTCCCCCCCCCCGTCGCCAAAAAAATTTCGGTCTGTGTACCATTTTAGGGGTCAAAAAAATTTTCCGGACAACCTATATTTTTCGGAACATAACACAAATTTTCGAAAAATCACACAATTTGCGAAAAAATTCACTTAATTTTAGATAAAATTGACTGAATTTGTCCCATTTTTTTTTTTCAAACCAAAATTGCCCGACTGTTGATCGAATATTGCCCCCGCCCGGTACGCCTATGTGCTATCATTTATTTATAAGAGACCTTTGATTGCCCTGCCAATCGGGATGATTCGTATTTTGGGGGGGTGTAACACCCCCAACACCCCCCCTCAAGTTTCGCCCCTGCATGAGAGTACGTTGAGAAGCGCGAGAGTTTGCACGAGAGTTGAGAAGCGAGAATTTATATGAGAGTTGATGAGAGTGTTGAGAAGCGAAAGTTTGCATGAGAGTTGATGAGAGTTGAGAAGTGAAAGTTTGCATGAGAGTTGAGGGGAGTTGAGAAGCGAGAGTTGTATGAGAGTTGATGAGAGTTGAGAAGCGAGAGTTAATTGATGAGAGTTGAGAAGCGTGTGCGAGAGTTTGCATGCATGAGAGTTGAGAAGCGAGAGTTTGCATGAGAGTTGAGAAGCGAGAGTTGTATGAGAGTTGAGAAGCGAGAGTTAATTGATGAGAGTTGAGAAGCGTCTGCGAGAGTTTGCATGAGAGTTGAGAAGCGAGAGTTTGCATGAGAGTTGAGAAGCGAAAGTTTGCATGAGAGTTGATGAGAGTTAAAAAGTGATAGTTTGCATGAGAGTACGTTGAGAAGCGAGAGTTTGCACGAGAGTTGAGAAGCGAGAATTTATATGAGAGTTGATGAGAGTTGAGAAGCGAAAGTTTGCATGAGAGTTGATAAGAGTTGAGAAGTGAAAGTTTGCATGAGAGTTGAGGGGAGTTGAGAAGCGAGAGTTTGCATGAGAGTTGAGAAGCGAAAGATATTAGGGTTCAAACGAGCAAAAAATTCTGATCAAAATTTAAACCAAAGTCAATAAGAGTTGATAAAAGTCGATGAGAGCTGGCAGTCATCAGGGCGCTGTAAAACGCTGTGTTTTAGAAAAGGGGTTCTCATGCATCAACTCTCATTTCGACGTTGAATAATTGCAACTACTACAGTAAATAAACTATTCCAGTTCAACCAAAAATATATTACATTTCTTCTCATAATGACAAAAATATTACACATAGGAAGGTTATAGTGGAATTTTAAACATATTACCTTCAGCTGATACGTCGTTTAAAAACTCTCGATTAAGACTTGCGACAGTTTCGTAACCTGGCTCCTGTTTTGATGATAATGATGACTTTTTAATAATGTCGATTACACGTGTTGCGTTTGCCCAATTCAGCCAAACGTCAAAAACTAAGGCTAGGAATAGTTTTTGGTGGCTCTATTAGTTTTTAACTGTTCTCCGAAAGGTCCAGAGAAGCCCAGTACTTATCGATCCAGTGTTATAACAGGAGGAAACCTGAACTAAACTAACTTTATTTATACTGGATAGCTCTATCAGTTCTAAACTGTTCTCCCTATATAGAGGTCGAGTAAGGATCATCTCTTATTGATACAGTGTTACTATGGACGGAAACCTAAACTAAACTAATTTTATTTATACTGGACAGCTCTATCAGTTTTATATACTGCTCCTCCAAGAGGTCCAGTAAGAATCATCTTTTATTGATCCCAGTCGGTTACTACAGGAGGAAACCTGAACTAAACTAACTTTATATATATTAGACGGCTCTATCAGTTCAAAACTAACCAATCGTAAATAATTTACCTGATCAATTGGCAATGATTCTTGTGGAGTTGCGTCTGCCAGTGGAATATTGACAGGAGTTGATAATTTTGGAGCTTGTTTCCGGCGCTTGTATTTTATCAATAAGACAATAAGCACAATGCAAAGAAATACGACGCCACCTGCTGTTGTTGCTATGATAATGATTCTGCTGCCTGTTTTTTCCTTGACTGAATAAAGATAAGAAAACATTAGAGTTATTTTATTTCTACTAACCAACTCAAAATGTCAAGACAACTTAATTAACAACAACACTGCTAACACTAACAGATAAAGAAGAACTTCCTACAATAGATCTCAATGTAATTTAAGCAAAACCTCACTTGCCTTCAGAGCAACATGATGGTGAAATGGCAGGTGTGGTAGAAATCGCAGATATTGTTGTCACCATTTTAGAAACAGAACTTCCATTATTTTCCACCGAAGCCAGTTCACTAGGTTGAATTTCTACAATCATAAAAATACGTTATAACTTTACAGACCTGGCATCAATTAAAGGACGAGTAACGATCCCATTTTCACTAATCTATTCGATTAAAAATCTACTACCCACCTACTATATATCTGTTTACGTACTGGAAACAGATAGATAATATCCCTCCAGTCCATGTACGGAATCCGTTATCCAAATTTGGGCTTCGGACTCCATGCACTGGCACAGTAGCATCTGGAATCCAGTTTGTAGATAGAATTCGGAATCCAGATAAAGGAATCCATTGACTTTTACGAGAATGGAATTCGTAATCCACAAGTAAAGATGCAAAATCTACCAGTCATGCAGGATCTGGAATCCACGAGTCAGGATCCAGAATAATATTATTATCTGCCTGGTATACGGCCAGGTTAACAACGTTAGAATTATTAATTTTTTACAAATACAACTATACCAACCTGTCAAATTCGTAGCATTATATTGTGCATGAAAAGACAAAGTACTTTTAGGATTTCTTTCATAACTTCCAGAATTTGACACAATGTATAAACTATTTGTAGAAGATGAAATATCGAGAAATTCTGCTCTTGCATTTGAACCGCAATATGTGCCTAGCAACGGAGCAGCACCATTTGAACCATCATATATTCTTAGAAATGTATCATTACAACTTGGTATGGTCAGCTCTTTAAAGCTCAATGAAATGATGTATGTTTCAGCAAGCGTAATTAACCAGGAACAATATTGCGAGCGTGGATCCATCTCACTAACTGCAGCCTTATGTGATCTAAATGAACCACTAGGACCAGTCATTGTACGGCGGCACTCTGAAATAGAATTATTAAAGATTCTTAAAAATCAAAGCTAAAATCTAGGCAGTTTGTTTGTATCATTTATCATAATATTAGTACTGTGCAGTAAAGTATGATCCAGCAATAGGCAATTCCAGCTTTTAGTTTATGCGTGCCGGGGGGGGGGGGAAGCAGATCATATTGCTGATTATACTGAAAAAGCTTATATACTTGTAAATATTGAAAAATTTAAATATTTCGGTTGTTTCGGCAGTTTTTATTTAATTTTTCACAGTACATACAATCAGCAATCATACCTTACTTCCCGTCACCCCCTGCGTGCATAATCAAAATCGGGAATTGTCTATTGGAATGTTCCATATTTCCATTGTCTTTTCATTGTTTTAAAAAAATCCCACTGTTCTCCACGCCATCATTCATTATTCTGACTCAGATTTATTTCATAATTTCATAATCTCAGAGCCAAAGAATTTCAACCTAGGTTGATACTAGATAATTATCGGGCTTAAATATGAGCTCTGCCCAAAAATACATGCACAATCAATTCAACAGTGTTTAAATTGTTAGCATATGTCATAAAAGATTATTAAACAGTTGAATATGTACTTTGAAAGATACATTTTAAATCTTCCATCCTTAGCTACCGTACACGAGGTAAACTTCCTGATTGCAGTGTTCAGTTGGTACTACGAACTGAGTTATATTAACGTACCTTCATAGTAACAATAGTATTTCTTATCTCCATCCGAAAACAAATGTTCCCCACCCTGAGCATCTCTATTCCTGTTATCTTCTGTATCAAACACAATATACTCCAAGTAACTAAATGCCCACTTCACCATCTGACATTTAGGAGTGTCAGTAGAGTTAGATGTTAATAAATAAAATGGTTGACTGACTGGCAGTTCAATTGAATCATACCAGTTACTATCAGTTTGACAACAATAATATATCAGGGTATTATAATCATATACACCATCTGGTAGAAATCCTCCTTTTCCATTTCCATTGCCATCATCTGCATCATCCCATCTCACCCAGCCTGGTATCATACTTCTTGGACACGTTCCATTCTTATAAATACAATATGAACCTGTCAAAACAAAAATACATTTTCAAGGGGGAAATCAGTCAAAAAACATATACAACATAAATAAATCATTTTAATTAAAAAAAATTATTTTGATGGCAATTGAGGAATGGAGATATTATTATAAAATTATTCTGAAGTCGTGATCGAGAATGAATGGAGATATTATTATAAAATTATTCTGAAGACATGAGAAATGGCATGCATCATTCTGATGGCATGAAAGCTGGAGGTTTTGTTCACTTTTAACAGTAACGACTGCAGTGAATATTTTGAGGCTTTAGTTATGATGGTATTCTGTAAAGGACACTTAGCATACGAATTGTGCCATCAAATCACAACCCAGAGTGGTCGGAAAGTTTCATTGACATTGTGTTTTCATTGTTTTGAAAATCCCATCGTTCCCCTCCATGCCATTCAGTCATCCAATTTGTATATAAATACCTATTGCAGAATCCCTGGAGTTCATACTGTAACGTATGCATGGCTGTTTCATAGGTAGTCAGCGTATGCATATAGAGAACCTTACCTTTAGGCCAATACCTTGTTTGTGTTCCAGTATTTTGTTTCATGCAGAATGTCCTGTTTACATCTTTTTTATTTCCAACTAATGTGACATCCATATGTGACCCACTAGATACTCTTGACCGACTACTGGTACTCTTATCTGCATCGTCTTCCATATCCTGAAACCTCCAGCCCTCATACCATCCATTCTCCTTACCACCTGGACATCCTGATTTAGATCTAGGGAGACCATAACTACCACTTGGCCATTCATCACCTGAAAACATTAGAGCATGGCATGTACAATACTACCGATTAAATTAGGATAATTTATATTAGTATTTAAAAAATTCATTACTAATTCACGAGGAAAATACAAAAGAAATGAATGTTTAATCAATGTTTGTAAATCGGATAAAGATTTGTCCTGATTTACATAAACTTCAGCTTTGATTTTCTCGGCTTAGACAATGCTTATTTTTAAAATTACATCGTCGTACGTTAAAACATTCGCCTCCGATCTGTATCTGATATACAAACTCTCGCCTTTGGCTGCTCGTGTTTTATCTAGTACATAAATTGTTACATGAGACAGGGGACAAGTCAAACTGGGACGATTTTATTTCGGTCAGAGTATTATTTATAATCTTGAAGTGTCTGTGTCAGTGTAGGCAGTGGCAATAATATGAACAAGCTTTCGTGGGTGGGGATGCAACTACCTGAAAACATAAGGAGAATTTCGACGCTTCGAGCGAAGACCCTTAACTAGTAACTCCAGAAGATATTATTTATATTACATGTTTTCATGGACCGAACAGACTATCTTCAGACCAGGATGAATTTGGAGCAGGATGTATGTAAACACAAATACATTTCAGACCAGTCTCGGCTGAGCTCTCAGTGGCTTTGGAACAAAATGCATGCTCACAAAAGCACTGTAAAAAGAAAAATGGCCACACGTGCGGTAACTATCAACTGTCATATGCAACTCTGTTTCTCGTTTGACCAGCGAATAAGAATGAAAATTCATAGACCAGAGATTTATTTGTATAACCTTATGCAAACTACCATATACCTTGTGTGAATGAAGGGGCCAAGCCAAGAAGGCAGACCAAAATAAAGCTTATTCTAAATATCTTCCTTTTTTGGCTTTTTGTAATCTGTAATAAAAAGAAATTCAATACGTTTACATATTATAAAGCCATTGGCAAATATTATATGGAAACCAGGGTTTACAAATCCTCTTTTTGATCAAATTAATATGCATTTATTTCAACTCAAGTGTATACCGAGTCTGAGAGCAAGCTTCACATACAAGAACACAATTTAGTACTGTAAATTAATGCCATACAATGCAGTCATTCTCCAATATGTTCCGCCTTCATTTACCACGTAATACACGCCTAAAAAAGATATTCTCTTCCTGGAGCAAAATAGTCCAAAACTAAAAATTTCCGAGATATACTATATACCGAGCCAAGGATTCGAGCTCGGATTCGAGCCAAGGATTCGAGCTCGGATTCGAGCTCGGATTCGAGCTCGGAATCGAGCTCGGAATTCGAGCTCGGAATTCGAGTTCGGAATCGAGCTCGGAATCTAAGTTTTATTATAGTCTAGGACCTGTATATGACTATATGAGTTTGTATGCGTTTCACTTAGCACAGGTAATCTCAACTGTTTTAGGGTAAAATGACCATGGCAGTCAACATGGCATATGTGCCAAAACCTGAATCCGGGACAAAAGTCCTGAAAATGATCCCGTCCTGAAACGGCAGTGTCGACATAGCTGTAACTTCCGAAAAGGAAAAGCGATAGCCTTTCTAAAGTGTTATAGCGTTCAGAAGGGTTGCTTTTAGGGGTGGTCAGTAGTCTGAAATGTCAGGCGTTCTCCCCGCTTGAACCTGACATTTCAGGCTAGGGTGGTCAGTGGAAGGAAAAATTTGTCTAAGTATAATATTTTACAAGAAAATGACCATGCACCACCCCCAGGTAAATTGCTAATTATGCATAAATAACTAATGTGCCTTGGCAGAAGTGAAATATCCCTATTTCCTAAAAACAAATCTCATGAGGATTGTCATAAGGATTGTCATTGTTTTCTTTAAATATAATACCATATTTTTCAGTCTTGTTTGCTATTTATCGCCAACTGAAATCTGGCAAATATCATCCAGTTGTTGCACTTTTACATAACATGGTTGAAGATTTCAAAGAAGGTTTCATCAGGTTTTGAAACAGTGCAGTGTAATTATCTTCGATATTGTGTCCTTCGATATTTCGTGAAAGACTGAAATATGGCGCCATTATAAATTGCAATGGCTCGCCGCTTCTCTGCCCGGATAAATGCCACTTATTCGTCTTGCTGTGTATTTAGACATTACAGTATCCAATAGTACTTCATTGTACAGTAGAATAGTCCCAATCGAATGGGTCATTCCATTTATTATCCGCACCCCCCCTATGGATGAGCTCTGGTAAAAATGTTACCTGTAGGAATCGGATTTCAGAGAAGTACCCTGTTGGAATCGACAGTATCAATCTAAACCCTAGGAATGCTGCTAATTGCCAATATCTCACTGGTAGGAATCTGCTAATTGCCAATATCCCACCGGTAGGAATCTGCTAATTCCCAATGTCAGACCGGGGGGGGGGGGTGAGGATAATAAATGGAGTGATTATGATTCTCATAATAAATATTTGGCAATATAGTATGCTACACCTCGACGGCAATATCTGACCGGTAGGAATCGGGCCGAAGGAATCTGCTAATTCCCAATATCTGACCAGTAGGAATCCCCTAAGTCCTAATATCTGACCGGTAGGAATCCGCTCATCCATAGGGGGGGTGCGGATAATAAATGGAATGACCCAATCTCATATAACTGTTGAATATAACAATCCAAATTCGAAAAGAAGTATTAATTAATTTAAAAGTCACGCGCACAGGGAGCAGAAGAGTCACTAAACTCTAGTAAAACAATACAAACGCCATCTTACCTTGTTAACTGTAAAGCCTGGTTCACATTGATCGTAAACATCGGCGATGCCCATTGTCGGTGGTCATTGATGCATAAAATGTTTTGTGCATTTTCTTCTTCGTTGCTCACAGACAATGGATCGTAGAACATCGCCGATCAATGTGAACCAGGCTTAACATATTTCATTGTAAAATCCCCATTAAAATGCATATTTTACAATTTATAGTCTGTTGAAATTGTCGAGAAACCATGTGAAACCATATAAAGTTTATAATAAACATTGTTTGATTTTTTATTCGTACTTCATGTAACATGAACACCAAATGAACCGTATACCATTGCCGTATACTCATTTCACATTCTCGCTGGCGGCTCGGCATTGTTCGTTAGCTTTTCGGAAAATACGAGTCTACGGTCCCTCCCTCTGGGTAATTCAAGGCAGAGTATAGGTCTCCCGAAAAGGTCTTTTATTTTAAAAAATCCATACAATTTGCTTTAAAATGCAATGTTTTGACATGCTCTGTAACTTGGGGAAACTGCTCAAAAACACTTTTACTTCGCATTCTTCGACAGCAAAAGCGTGCAGCACGTATTATTCTAGTCACTGACTTTTCTACTCCTTATGTTCTTCTTTTTTCCCAGATTCGAATAATCCCAATCTTCGACCTTATCCTAGACTTGCCACAAGTCGACCTTGAACGAAACGCAAGCAGCGAGCGCGAGCGACGAAGTCGCTCGCGCGAGGTCGACTTGTCATACTTGCAGGGTTTTCAATTGCATTTCGCGCTAAAAAATGTGAATAAGTTATTGGCTATCAATTAACAGGGGGTTGAGTTTTCTAATTGCATCATCTAATCGCATGTGCGTCATATTTCATATTTGTCACTTCGCTTTGCGAAGCAGTCGTCCCCAATATAGGAACTAAATTGACCAAACTGCTAACTTGGTCTGACCAAATGGCTAACTTGGTCTTTCATAAGCGAGACCAACGGAACGACGACGAGAACCAACGACTTGTTATTTTCCGACAAGTACTCGAAAGCATGCGGAGCTAACTCAAAGGTTAAGCTTTTCCCATATCCTGTCTGTGCCGAAACGAACACATCTCTGCCAGATAGATAGGCTTCAATGGTCTGCCGTTGATACTCTTTCAACTCTAAATAGCCAGAAAACTGCTGTGCCTTTTCAATCCCCTTTGAAACCGAATTCTCCATTGCAAACACAGAAACCACAGACACAGTGTTGAAAGGCAGAACACGAAATACTGCGCAAATTCCTTGTTTCCGGAAGTCTGTTCATAAATACGTCAACATGTCCCTTTCACGCTTCTCTGATTGGTTGAAGAGATCATCAACAAATGAATATACACAATATATATAGATCAGCGTTACTGACCCATTTTTAGGTCAGTAAAATTTGGCGCGCTGCAAGTATGACAAGTCGGCCTCGCGCGAGCGACTTCGTCGCTCGCGCTCGCTACTCGCGTTTCGTTCGAGGCCGACTTGTGGCAAGTCTAACCTTATCCCAGTGCTCCGTGATCATTTAAGCAAATGTTTAAATTCTTATCTTGTATTCGACAACGGGCTCTGACTAGAGCTTGCGCATATGACCTTCACAACCCCCCTTCCCGCGTACTGACTCTGGCAAACGAACATTTTATTATTATTATTATTCATCTTATTTAAAAACGGTAGCCCTTCAGATTAAACTGCTTTTCAAGGGGCCGTTAGAATATTTACAAATACGAAAAATCTATTGTATATACTGTGTAAAAAAGAAAGCCCATGCAATGAATACTATATATAAATTAGAATGACTCACATATATAACTAGAAATAGTATGTTATGTTAACCCTCCCAGACCCAAAAAATTACTCCTTCGAATCAAAATCCGCCCCACAAGTGGTTGTCATACACTATTCCTCTCCAAATTGGTGAAATAGTTGTTGATTAAAGTTTTGAAGTTACTTATGGAGAGCACTTTGTAGTTGTTGGTAACATCATTTGGAAGATTGTTCCATGATGCCGCACCTCGATATGAAAACGAATTCTTCAAGAAGTCTGTTTAGGTTTCTCCAAATAAAGTTTACAGTTATTACTTCTTAATGGGTACATATCATTTAGGCAAATTTTAAAGAAGTTGGTCATACATTCTGGCAGTTGTCCTTGTAAGGCCTTAAATGTCATTATCATTTCTCTTTTCTTAAGAGTGGTTTCAATTGGTTCCCAGTGTAAGATATTAAATATATCTTTCGATCTTACTTCTACCTCCTCCGCAGGCGCTTAGGGAGCATTTCGGGCAGGTTCGGAAAATGCGGGTTGCAGGCGAGAGCGCCTGCCGAGTAATGCTTTCAAGATGGCGTATGCTATAAATCGAAATTTTCATTTTGACTTTACTATTATGACTTAATATACAATATACATACCAGCACTGATCTAATAGATCTAAATAATATTTAGAAATAGCATCCAGTGGTCTTGGCAGACTAAAAAGTACTTATAACTAGCCGCCGCTTTTCTATGACGATGGAGACTGTCTAATATAAAGTGTTTATACAAATTATGCCAATGCAAATACAACATCAACGATATTATCCGCTTTCTATATATTTTGCGACTAAGCCTATGATAAGCCATTTCAAATACTTTAGATAAGATTCAAATATCAGTCTGCATGAAACATTAAAAGCACAATTTGAAAGATAAATATGGTGAAATTATATTTGCATATTAAAAATATACATTTACAATGTAAATAGAAGTAATATAGCGTCTCATTGTTCGCTTGTTCTTTGTCTTTTGAGTATAATGACACAATGTCTGCATGTAGAATCTCCATTACCACAAAAATCTACATACCAAGTCCATTTCAGAAAACGATATATTGAGAGTATCCACATCGCTGCCGTCGAACGATGAGCACAACATATCAATTGTCAACATATGGCGTTATTCAAGCGTGTCCTGTTCATAGCGATCGATATCATTGTGTTACGACTGCTTGTTATGAATTGCATTATAAAACGCGTCAATGATCTACATGATATTTAATCAGGTAAAATACATACATATTTCCATTTCACAGAATGACATATTATTAAGAACGTCAACATCGTCGAAATCCTCGATTTTTCCCTCTGTTCGTCGCTGCTTTCGGCCATGACTGCCCTGAAGTATCACAAATACTCTACCATACACGGGACAATAGTTTTGGGATAGGATGGTTCATATTTCACGAAGATTTTTAAGGATTAAAAACCGATACCCGGGAAACGTCACTTCTGCCCAGGAACTAGCCTGCTCGCAGGCCGTTGTCAGGCAGAGGCTGCATGGGAGGAACGGCCTGCGACCTTTATTAGTAAAAAGTCGATTTATGCGTACGGAGCGTACGCAAAATTCCCATTGGTCAGAAGTGCCCCATGAGTTAATATCGTGCAAATATTTAACTCGTACGACATTTCGCAATGTAATTTTAAAGCTGGCATTCAATCAGTGGCGTATAAAACCATGACTTTGTTTATCTCTTCGAAGAAGTAACTGAATGTATTTGAAACTTTCAATTTAAATTAACGTTGAAGGATGAGCGAAGGTTAGCAATATTAACTGTACTTCCAACGGGATTTGATAAAAGTTTACATGTAATATACCGATACTTTGTCTTCGTCAGCTATAATAAACCTTTTCCAAAGAAGTACAAGGGAAAACTTCGACGTATGCCTTGCTGATCTTTGCAGAGAGAGTAAAATAAGTCTAGTTCAGGCTGACAATTTATCTAACCGCGTTTGCATCACTTGCGGTTTCAAACGTTGAACAACTTAAGGGTTAGCCCAGCGAGACGTTCGTTGAGACACAGGCAGTGAATCAGCTAGTATAAAGCAGTTGATTGTCAAATGCCTCCGAACATTTCTCCCAAATACTTCCCTGTCAACCCAAGGCTTTCTGCCTATTAAAACAATCTGGTCTTGAATAAGTCAAGACAATGGGCAAATTATTAAAACAGACGCCGTCGAGGAAAGTTGTTCTTAGAACACCTGGCCAATTTGAATTTACACCTGGAAATTTTGCAATAGTCGTTTGCGTGTTCTTTGACCGAAGTCCTCTCTCTCTTTGTGACTTTATTTTTGGGAGTCTCAACTAGTGACATATATTATTACAACAAGAGCTTTTTACAAAAAAATGTAGTTATTAAACACGGCAGAATCGATGCCACGGCCACGGGTTTTCAAATTGTCTATTGTCTATTGAGTTAATTGTATTATTGAGCAAATGACAGACTTCCGCAATAATGATTAATGTTTTTTAGCCTGCTATTGTTCGACACTTTTAATAAATAGTGTTTGTTACTTTGTTCAAAACCTAAATACGTTTCCTTAAATCTTACAGTTATATTTTGGATATCAATATATAAAATACATTAACTATAAACAGAGTAAAAATTTTACGTCTCTGTAGTATAGTTACATAATTTAAAACGGCAATGTACGAACAAGACAGCAATATACAAACGGGACTATGTTTTAAATATTAGAACACTTTAGGGAAAAAACGACCATGAATTATTTTAGATTAAAGTTTAGACCTTGGAATCCTAGTGAAAGATACAGACGTAAAATTGCGCGAGAAACTGTTTGTTGTTGTTAATAACCTCTGGTAATCTAATTAACAAAACTTGCTTTGATTGGCTACTATTTACCGGATATTCAATTATCTCAAAGGGGGCGTATTGACAAAATATCAATAAAAGTCGCAGGCTCTATATAATAGAGCCTGTGAGCAGGCTACCCAGGAACCGACTATTATTCAGCAGGCCTTTCGTCGCCTTCCGTTCTTCCCTGATCTCAAATTTCACGCCCGCAAATTATTCCCGCCCGCACCGAAAGGCCTGCGGAGGAGGTAGATCTTACTTCGTAAGTTGACCCTGTGATAATTCTAGCCGCTCGTTTCTGCATTTTTAAAAGCTTGTCTGTATGTGTACGACTGCCGTCATTCCACACGTTGGAGCAATAAGTAAAGTGAGGTAAGACTAGTGAGTTGTACATGTTAATTAAGACGTTTTGGTTGACAAATCGTTTGGCTCGTCTTAATAAGGCAATGCTCTTGGATAGTTTTTTGCATTGAAGATCATTGTGTTTATGCCATCTCAGTTCATCGTCTAACGTAATTCCCAGTACTTTTTTATTGGTTACCTGTTTGATGTTATGATTACCAATCAGTATACATGGGTCATAAGAGAAATGTTTCAATTTTCGTTTAGAGGCTATTAGCATAAATTCAGTTTTTTTTAAGTTTAAAGTAAGCTTGTTTGCTATTAACCAGTTATTGACGTTATACAAGTCATTGTTTAGTTTCACTTCTATGTCCGCAGGTGAATTACCAATGCTTTATATATTTGTGTCATCTGCAAACATAGATGCCTCTGTTTGTTCGAGACAGTTAGGAAGATCGTTTATATACAATGAGAATAATAACGGTCCTAAGTTTGATCCCTGTGGGACTCCGCACCTTATCTTTTTCAGTTGGGAATTTGTACCTTGGACTGTACATAATTGACTCCTGTTGGTTAATTAAGTACGATTTGAAGAAGTTAAGGGCTACACCTTGAACTCCATATAGTTCGAGTTTAGCAAGAAGGATTTTGTGGTCGACTGTATCGAATGCCTTTTTGAGATCAAGAAACAAGACACCGTTTATTAAGCCTCTATCCATATTCATTAAATATTTATTGGTTGTTTGCAAGAGAGCAGTTTCAGTAGAGTGATATTTACGGAAGCCAGATTGACGTTTTGTGATTATTTTGTTGTCATTCAGAAAATTGAGGAGTTGGTTATAAACTATTTTCTCTAACATTTTTGAAATTGCCGGTATGACAGATATAGGTCTGTAATTTCCGCATTCATTTTTGTCCCCTTCCTTATAGATAGGCGTAACCTTAGCCTGTTTTAAGTCGTCTGGAAGTACACCAACGTCTAGGATCAAGTTAAAAATATAAAGCAAGGTTTCACATATGGTATAGCCTGCAGCCTTTAACAGTTTGTTTGTGATTTTGTCGAGTCCTGCAGCTTTCCCTAATTTAATATCATCTAGTGTTCTGCATAATTCTGCTGGTGAGATTTTGATTGTAAGCAACTTGCTGCTTCGCCATATTGCTCTTCATATACTAACGCCAAACAAAGAATTCCGCATAAAATCTTTTTTAACAAGCTTAACCTTACTATAGAATCCGAGCTCGAATTCCAAGCTCGAATTCCGAGCTCGAATCCGAGCTCGATTCCGAGCTCGAATCCTTGGCTCGGTAAATAGGTATCCTCAAAATTTCCTGTGGCTGTGTATATGTCAAATATTGAACTTCCTGTATATGTAGACTTCAGAGAATGCACATGGTGCCGCACATTTTAATAAGCTTTAATCTCGGCAAAAGACAATCTCAACTTGCAAAACGCTTTTGTAAACAATTATAAGAAAATTATATGACAATCCAGTATTTTAGATGACGAAAAGTCTAATTGATCCTCTATACACACGTAAAAACGAACAATCTGTTCCCGGTTGATATCGACAGGCATGAACAAGATTGTGCTGCACCTTCATGCAGAACAAGTTGTCAACAATGTTGTTACAGCATGTTCAGTCGTAACAATGACAATGTTGTGACAACATTGTTGACAACTTGTTCTTAGGGTTCAGCACAACCTTGTTCAAGCCTGTCAATATCAACCTTGTTGAAGCCTGTCAATATCAACCTTGTTCAAGCCTGTCAATATCAACCTTGTTCAAGCCTGTCAATATCAACCATGTCCATGAACAGGTTGTTCGTTATTACGCGTGTAGAATTGCTCATCTGTACACATCTTATAAATTACCTGCATGTCTACTGTAAGATGATGAACATTAACAGAACCACTATCGGAACACACAAAACAGCATCCAATTCAAATAATCTGACAACGGTGCTTCTGAAAAGTACGAAGTATGTTGAGTTGGCGACTAGCCATAGCTTATCGAAAGGAAGATGGCTGTGAAACTCATTAGAATAACAATAACTCATTATCTATGTTAGTCAACGTTTATTCATAAATATGGTCCTTCTCCATCAGGTGTGTATACCATTTTTGCCAAACCACCAATAGCAATTTCCAATTTACCCTATTGTTTGAGTCATGGATAGGTAACTTTCCTAAAACATTGCTATTGAGTCGTTGTTAGGCCACGGTCAAACGTCGAACTTCTCATGTGCCGAACCTAATGCAAACGAAGTGAAACAAAGAACTTAGCTCATTAACATTAGGTTCGGTACATGAAAAGTTCGACGTTTGACACTGGCCTTAGTTGGGCTTTTATACAATAAACACATGACGGTGAACAGTGAAGGACCATATTTATGAATACCAAGGGTGGGTAGTAGCGAAGTAGTTGTAGTTCGCTACTGTAGCGAACTACAATTTTCAAGTAGCCAGTAGTTTTTGACTACTTTTTTAAAACAGTAGCTGTAGTTATAGCGAACTACATTTTGCCTAAAAGTAGCAAAGTAGTTGACTACTTTTCAAACAGCAAATCGCTATTCGCTACTTTTTAAAATTGTTAGCAACTTGATAGAATAGAATGTTATTAAGACACAGTTTGCTTAAAATCAATACTCAATTTGCACGAATAAAGTATGCCGTGCAACTGTTCAAACTGTGCAAGTGCATGCCGTCTTATTTACTCGTAAGTCGATTTGTTATAGGTTTACATTACAGCCTGAGCTATAGTAGATGTTCCAAATACAGTAAAATTAAAAAATATTGAGTAGCGAAATAGCGAAATAGTTCGCTACATTTTTTAAGCAGTAGCTGTAGTCAGTAGCGAACTGCTTTTGTTCAAAAGTAGCAGTAGTTGTAGCTGACTACATATTTTGAAGTAGCTGTAGTTATAGCGAACTACAAAAAGTTTGTAGTCAACCCACCCTTGATGAATACATGTTCACTAACATGCATAGATAATGAGTTATACTGCTACTGAGTATTCTAACGAGTTGCACAGCCAACACGTGCCCATGCTATATTTGCCTTCGTATTCGAGGGATTTCGACGGCACAGTTTCTGCGAACCGCCTCTGCTGTTGAGTTTGATTTCTCCCGAGAAAGGAAATTGAAAACGTTATCAAAAGTTTCACTACATTAGTTTATTTTCAAAACTTTTTCTGAGGATGAGAGTTCAGTTGACAGTCACATAGATTAACAAAATAAAGGTCTGATGAGTGTTCCAACTATGTTTTAACTTAAATAGAATACATGATAGTGTTGGGAAAGCATTAAGAACATGCGCTAACCGAGGTCACGTGACTGCCAACTCTCATGCTCTCTCAGAATTGTCAAATTTATTTAAAATTTGCATTGACGTCGCATTAACGGGGGATCAAACGAGAATAGACCTTTCCTGTAATTCCGTCACAGCTACATTGTTTTAAACTTAAGACCCCCTTAAATGGAATAGATTTCAAGTTGTTTTTTCACTGGCTATACGTACAAAGAAGCAGAGCATCCTTCTTCAACACATGCATGGGTCATTGCCCCTTAGCACAGAATAAGGCACACAGAAGGGCCACCCTGGCCGCCATCTTCCTAGCCAGTCGATTACATTTTCTGGCCAATAAACGCGCTGTATTGGCTGGAGGCCCCGCCTTCTGGCCAGTCAATTGCACATTTTTGCATAGAAAAATGGTGACACGTTGCACCGCTGAGTGGCCCTTCTGGTACTGATCTTTATTCTGTGCCCTTAGCCTCGTTTTCGTGTTAAAGCTTATTCCCGCATTTATTGGTCAAAATAATATTTTTTTATCATGAATCTGTTAAAGAAAGACGAGAAGAAAGATGTTTCATAAGTCTTGCTTTACTAGTTTCTGATGGGTACTGTCTTCCGTTGTATTTCTACCGTTCACATCAAGCTCAGTATAAACAGGATTTTCTGACGATAATTTGGGCTCTTCACAGGTTTCATTTTGACCTGGTGTTCCGTGCTGTGGTTTCTCTGGAGCAGGTATTACGTATCCCTTGTCCTCCAGATCAGTATTGGGTCGTTTATTGAGTTCAGTTCCTTAAAACATTAAAGACTACATATACTTTATTGCCAGAAACAGTTAATCAGATAAGATAGAGACAAACTAGACCAAATGGAGAAAAACTGTATAATTTTAGATATCGAACAGAACGATTTAAAAATAGTATGGGATTGAAAAAAATTTTAAATTAAAGATTACTTGTAAATATTATAGTTAGATTTCTTATGAATTCTAAATGTAATTCACATTGTAAATTAGTATATACTATTTCATGTGAAACTCTTGAAAGATTAAAGATTATTAGATTAAAAAGAAGCTTTGTGTGCACAGCAGGCTTTTAGCCAGAAGGGCGTCCAGGCGTCCTAGCTGGGACGCCCCTAGAACAAAAATGGACGCCTTTGGACGCCCAAATTCTGGGGGAAAAGGGAAATTATTTTCAATTATTTCCCTAAGTATATTAATATATTTGAAACGACATAGTTTCAATTCTCATTATTATTATACATTTGACATTTTGATCAATTTGATGGTGTACCTGGCTGAATGAAAATGTCGTAGTTAAGTAAAGAAGCATAGCGGCACAAACTCACAAAGCCAAGTGTGTTTGAAAAATTTCGAACAAGCTTGGAACAAATACTGACATGAAGTAAACATAAACTCCAAAGGTTTTCCAGAGGAACGTTTTCTCAACCCCTCCCCCCTTTACTGTAGATGTATCGTTGTACCAAAATTGGACGCCCTCTTTTAGGACCCTGGCTAAAAGCCTGGTGCACAGTTACATTTTTCTGGCAGTTTACATTCACATAAGGTCGCGCTTGTAACTTTGTTGTAAATTGGCTGTGTTGCTGGCTGTCGACGTGCTTGAGGGAAGTGGGTCAGTTCTCGCTTCTCAAAACAGGAGAGAAGATGGCTCCTCATTTTCTTTTGGTCAAAGCGTACCAGATGTACTGGCTGATGTCCAACTGCTAATTCGTACGCGAAGGCGATAGCAAACAATCCACAGCCGACTGATCCTGTCTGTCTCTGAACAGGTCGGATATCATGCACTTCCAAACGTCCCGACTCGTTAATTAAATTTTGGTAACATTGTTCCAGTTGAACTTTGGTTGATCCCGCCAGGTAATCGTAGCGGCTATCGCAGACTCTAACATGACCGCCTGTCAATTTCAACAACATATATACAAATTTTAGGTTAAATTAATGTATCTAATCGAAAAGTCACTATATAAAGTGTTTCATCCGTAAAGAATTACATGCAGGTTGTAACAAATTTGGATTTTTTTCAAATTTCAAATGATTCTTAAGTCCTAACAGATAAAACAGACTATAGTGGCCTTTTGAGGTAAACCCGTATTAAAGGGGGAGTGTCACCGATTTTTGACCGAAAATGTCTTTTATTCAAAGTCTGACCTGCGAATTTGAAAATAAACATTATAAATAAGTTCAGTTATCATATTAAATTTTAAAAGGAACAAAACAATAGACACTCCGAAAATAGTTAACATTTTATTCAACGTTTCGACTAGGTTTCAGTCATCATCAGGAATGACGCTATTGAAAAATACTGAGATATATATTTACAAGTTAAGCGGATCAAATTACGTGCTAATTAAATATCACAAGTTCCTTGGAGGCTCTATTTCCGTGACTAAGTTCCGTTTTTGGCGATGTATATGTAAGGACTCCTTATATAACAATAATGACCAATGTCTAGATTTATCTAAAATAACACAGTTTTGGTATATGATGGCTTCTGTGGTATGTGGATCAAATTGAGCAAGTAGTGTGTTGGGTAGGTTTAGTAGGGTCTGGTAATATTGGAAGTGTTCACATGACATATATGTTTGTGAACTTCTGAGTTTTTGTCGGAGGAGTGTTCTTTAATCCTTGTTCTGAGGCAGTGGTCAGTTTTTCCGATGTACGACAATAATCATATTAAAATATCATATTAAACAACTTTGGACTTCCACACTGCAGCATGTAAGACGACGTTTTCATACAAATTGACCTAAACTTGAAAAAGTGTACGCTAACAATTAATCAAGATGTCATTTACAATCCATCTCAATCCTCGCCTAATCTCAACCATCCAGACTTCAGCACATGCTTTTCGTATTTGTTATTGTTTTATGCTCTGCACTTACAACCATTCTTTTCAGGTTTTGTGCAAGGTTTTGCGAAGATCAAAATCGGTGACACTGCCCCTTTAAGCGGCCCTGCAGGTTTGACTAATATATATTAATATTAATATACACGTATAGAGCCATTGAACGGCGAAACATGGATGCGGATATATCTATAATGTATGATGTATGATGTATGATGTATGATGTATGATGTATGATGTATGATGTATGATGTATGATGTATGATGTATGATGTATGATGTATGATGTATGATCTATAATCTATAATCTATAATCTATAATCTATAATCTATAATCTATAATCTATAATCTATAATCTATAATCTATATCTATATCTATCTATCTATATATATATATATATATATATATATATATATATATATATATATATATATATATATATATATATATATATATATATATATATAT